AAAAAAAAAGGTTGAGAGACACTTATTCATGGTTTCATGGTTTTGCATTATAATCACCTACTATCTAATTAGCGAATGGCTCATTGCTATCTCCACCAAAGAAATCTTATAAGTGAGTTGAAAAACTTATGCATGGAAGATTTAGGGCAGTAAACAATGGACAAAGAAATAAGCAAGTAAGGCCTAAAATCACATAACCAGAAAGAGTAAAGTCTGCTTAGAATTTCTCGATAAGCATTTACTGAATGCTGTTTATTGGGTTTGCTGCCTAGTCCAGAAGGGACATACAGTCATGTATTTTAAAAAGATCCCCTGTCTTCAAGGAGTCTACAAACTAGCTACAGATATAAAATAATCAGGGAAAAATAAGCAGCAGATCCAGACAACTGTATTCAGCTTGGGGAACAACATGTTAAGAAAAACCTAACACAGTGCCTGGAAGATAGCAGGCACTCAATAAATATTGCCAGGTTAACAAGAAAAGACAAACTAGATTTTGGCTAGAGGAGAATAATATATAAAGATTCTGGAGACTACATATATGAGGAATAGTTGAAGAAGAGTGCTGCTTCACCTGGAAGGGAAGATTTTCTGTGGACAGGATAGCTGTCTTCAAAATTCACAAAGGGCTATGTAATGAAGGCATGCTTTGGCTGTTTGCCCAGGAGGGTGGAGCCCACTGAAAACAATTCCCGGCAGGAGGTGGCCATCCAATTCTAGAGCAGCCTTCAGGAACCAAGGATGCGCAAACTACTCTACCTGAAGATCTCTCTGGGTATTTTCCTGTCCTCTGTTTCCATTTTTAACACAACTCATTTCTCCCACAAGTCCATAAGAAGGAGGAACAGCTGGAATTGCTATCTACACTTTAAGTACTAAAAAAGTGTCACTCAGAAAAGTAAAATTATACCATGGTGGTTAGGAGCAAAGGTCTAAGATCAGAAGAAATTCTTGCTCCACCACTTTACAAAATGTGTTAACAGTGGAAAGTTACTTAGCTTACCTGAGCTTCTAAGAAACTTCCAGTGAGGCCTATGCTGCTGACCCATGAATTACACTTTAAGTAATAAGGCTGATACCTTTAAGTTGTTGCAAGCATTAAATGAACTCAGGGCCCAGGACTAGAACAAAGCCTTGGGCACAGAATTTACGAGAGCATTAAAACTCAGTAATCAAGATAGAAAATACTTTAATGAAATATTTTTAAAAATCAAACCTACTGCAAAAAAATTAATGATAAACAAAATATCAAAATCTCAAATAAAGACAAGATCAGTAACAGTGCAATGCCAAGTCATATCACAGCCTGAGGTGAAAGGAAAACCAGCAATACTTATCCTATCTTTAAGTTTTTGATGTTTTGTTCACCACTGATTTTTTACATTAATTTTGAATTTTTTAAATATTGCATTTAATATTTATCTTGAGTTTTTGGCTCCCCCATAAATTCTGTGTCCACGTCAAGGGCATCCCGCACCTCACCCTAGTCTCAGCTTTGAATGAAACAACACATGAAGAGTACTTAGCACAGTTCCTGGCATAGTAAATATGTAATTATAGTTACTATTATTTATGACCACTGTATTGTTCTATGAACAAATAATACTTCAAAGATAGATTAAGAAAAAGAATCCATATTTCATAGGCTATTAAAATGCAGGAATATCTTGCCTATGTCACCTGCTTTATCTTCCAAACAGCGAAAAGAACTTGGCTTTCAAGTGTGTCTCATAATAGCAAAGTCCAGAAAGCATTTATATAGGCTCTATGCATAGAGGTAAGTAAAGGACAGTCTCAAGAAACTAATCCTACAACTGGAAGACAAAAGAAAAGATAAATGGGATTAACTGCAATAAAGAAATAAATGTTTTAAAAGCTATCTTTTCATTCAGGGGTTAGCCCAGATATTCAGGGCCATTTAACCCAGAATTTTGAGAAATGCATACAGAAAGACTTATATAACAATA